TGCAAGTCGAAGAAAATAGTGTACCTCAAGATGAAGAAATACTTGACAGGTCTCAAGTGTTTGATCACACACCTCACAAGTGGAGGAGCATAAATGAAAGGCTTTTTATCACAAAACATCCAACCATTTGTGATACAAAAAAACCTTAAGGATGCAATCTGATAGTTTCGCAAACGTCAGGGACGTTTTGTGATAAAAAGCCTAAATGAAATCATGGCACAATGTAACATGTGCATTGTGGAACCTGAAAGCTTTGAAGAAGCTGACTTGGATGAATCATGGAGAAGCGCTATGAAGGCTGAATTAGAGATGATTGAGAAGAACAATACATGGGAATTAGTTGACAGGCCATTTGACAAACCTGTAATTGGTGTCAAGTGGGTCTACAAGACTAAACTTAATTTAGATGGCACTGTGCAGAAAAATAAAGCTCGACTAGTGGCTAAAGGTTATTCACAAAAACCTGGAATCGATTACAACGAAACATTTGCCCCAGTGGCAAGGCTAGACACCATTCGAACCTTGATTGCTCTTGCTGCACAAAAGGAATGGAGCTTATATCAACTAGATGTGAAGTCTGCCTTTCTCAATGGCATTCTAAAAGAGGAAGTCTATGTTGAACAACCACAAGGTTATGTTCAAGAGAAGACAGAAACCAAAGTGTACAAGCTAAACAAGGCCCTATATGGACTAAAACAAGTCCCAAGGGCTTGGTATGATGAGATAGATGCTTACTTCAACAATGCAGGATTCAAAAAGAGTTCTAGTGAAGCTACTCTCTATGTCAAAACTAATGACACTTCAGGTATTATTATTGCCTCACTTTATGTAGATGATATTATATATACTGGTAGTTGTCCCAAATTGCTTAAGGAATTTAAGCAGGATATGATGCAACACTATGAGATGACAGACTTGGGGTTGTTGCATCACTTTCTTGGCATGGGAGTGATACAAACAGAGAGGCACATTTTTATCCATCAAAAGAAATATGCACTGAAACTTCTTGAGAAGTTTGGAATGAAGGACTGCAAGTCAGTAGCAATTCCACTTGTTGTGAATGAGAAACTGTGCAAAGAAGATGGAAGTGAAGCAGCAAGTGAGAGTGAATATCAACAGATAGTAGGGAGCTTACTCTATTTGACTGCCACAAGACCAGATGTAATGTTTGCATCTAGCCTTCTTGCTAGATTCATGCACAATCCCACAAAGAAACACATGGGAACTGCCAAAAGAGTGCTGAGATACATACAAGGCACTGCTGATTTTGGCATTGAGTTTGTGAAAGGAAAAACAACTACTCTAATAGGGTATTGTGACAGTGATTGGGCCGGAAGTGAGGATGATATGAGAAGCACCTCAGGATACGCCTTCACACTAGGCTCAGGCATGTTTTCTTGGGCTTCCATCAAGCAAAACACAGTGGCTTTGTCCACAGCAGAAGCTGAATATGTGAGTGCTGCAGAAGCTACTTCACAGGCTAAGTGGCTAAGATTTGTGCTTGAGGATTTTGGTGAAGAACAAGTAGAAGGTACACCTATCCTATGTGACAACACCTCTGCTATTGCAATGGCAAGGAATCCAGTTCATCACCAGAAAACAAGACATATCAGTCGGAAATTCCATTTCATAAGAGAAGCTATTCAAGCAAAAGAAATTGAGCTGATCTACTGCAAGACAGAAGATCAAATAGCAGATATTCTGACCAAGGCTCTACCTAAGGATCGTTTTGTTAGTTTAAGAAGCCTCCTTGGTGTGAAATCAGCTAAAGGATGAGAAGGGAGTGTTGGAATGTAATCCTGCAGCTGCTTTCTTACAGCCGAAACTACCAAGCTCTATTTCTATTCTTTTATGTTTATTTTATTTGTGATGTAATTAGAACCATTGGATCATAGTCCAGGTGGATTCTCTAGTTTAGATTTGGAATGACAAGTGTAAGCACCTCATAGGGTAACAGCTGTAATTCGGTTAAAGAAGAATCTCTCTTCTTTCTCTCTACCGAGCACACTATGTAAGCTGATTGTTTGGGAAAATGCAATACAACAGTCCCTTCTCATTTCCTCTCCTCCTCTCTGCAAAATCTCCATCTGTAGAAAGGCTAAAAATATACAAACAACCTAAAATACTAACAGGTATATCTTCTGGTGGAGATGGAGCTGCTTCTTCAGGTAATACTGTAAATATGTGTATAGATGTATGTAGCAGTGTATGTATTTCCTTAGCCCCACTCTCTCTCTCTCTCTCTCTCTCTCTCTCTCTCTCTCTCTCTCTCTCTCGGGGTAGGTGGTGGCACTTCAGCACCTAAGCAAGAAGAAGTCAATTCTGGCATATCATTACCAGAATTGGAAGTGCTTGTGGTGGCAATGGAGTTGGCACAATTCTGTGTACAATTATACACAACATCCGAAGGTCTATGTTTGCATCTGATCATGCACATGCCAAGGCATATTGGGCTCATCAGGCACTTTGTCGCACATTTTAAACCACAAGAAATAATATGGCCATTTGGAACCACTTGATTTCCATCGGAAGGATTAGAGACATCATCAAGTTGACCAAGAGTGTTGCCATTTGGAACCGTATTGGTATAGGAAGGATTCATTTCAGCTTGAGCTATAGCAAGCACAAGCATGCTCATCAAAACCACAGCCCTCAACACACTAGCGTCCATACCTTCTCTTTCTTCGTTTCAACTTTTTTTTATTGAACTCTGTTTGATTGCCGGAGTTTGTTGGTGGAGGAAGCGGAAGCTAATGCCACAATTTATAGGGAGACCCTTTGGCCATCTATGTTCTATGCACCAGAAAAATATTACATGAGCTGTAATAGAGCGCAAATTGAATGCGTCTCTTTCTTGATTTCATGGCGATGATCAGTGAAGACCACCCAAAGTTCAGTTCAAAATATTTTTCTGGTGAGCCTCAAATTATTAATTGGTGGATGTAATTTAGGCGGTTTGACATTTATTTGTTTTCTCATTGTAAGGAAATTACAGAATTATTGTTGATCAATTGCAGGTGTCCTTTGATTTAGTTGATCATTTGCGTCCCTTTGATTAAGTCATTTTGTCTCACCTCAAAAGTCACTGATTGATTATTTTTTCATAGAAAATGATTAAATGCTTTTAGATTTTGACATTATGGGTCCACTGTGTTTCCTATTATATGGTTATAGAATTCTGTGGTTTCTGTTTTTTCAGTTGTTTTTGTTTTTTAATCTCATTTGAAGTCTCTAGAACTCAGAAGTCTGAATGATATTTGCTCAGCGATGCTATTCATATGGGTTACTTGTAATTTCTGAGATCCTGCTTATGTTGAATTGTTCATTTGATGCTTCTCTGCAATTTTTTTCCTGTATTGGTCCGAAAAAGAAGTCTTAATATGTTAATCAACTTCTATATTCTGGTTAAAAAGAATTTTTGCACATCAGGTTGCCATTAGTATGAGCTCTGCAGTCAAAATGAACTCATTTTATTGTGACTGATCTTTTCACTTAACTTGACAAGTTTTGATAAGAGCTTGTTCAGTATGTGACAGTAAATATCATGTATTTTGTACACAAGTTTTTTATTAAACCTTTGTTCAGACTAGTAGGAATTGTTACAGAAGAAGTTGTCTGCTCAAGTTTTCATTTTGATACACATTACAGAGGTATCAAATGTCAATGTTTAGCTGTAGGGTTCCGTTTGGTTGTGGTTTTTGTGAGTTTTGTTTTGGACTGGTTGAGCATTACAGAGGTATATATATCTCTCTCTCTCTCTCTCTCTCTCTCTCTCTCTCTCTAAGTTATATATAGCCAGTTTTATCATTTCTTCATATCTGTGTGGCCATAGTTTGGATTTTCCTGGTATTGTGAAGCATATGGCTAGTGAACCATATTGTGAAGCATATGGCAATGGTATTCGTTCATTCTCGAAAGGACACAACAAAAACAGCTCAGAAATATACACCTTTATATTCCATCTTACTTTTGTGGGTTTCTATTTGGTTGAAATTATTTTTTGAAATTGTTAATAATAAATTAGTCATGCTGACTTCATAAATGAGGAAGCGTCTGTTGGTTGCTGATGCAATTGCATCAGCTGGACCCCTACGATTCATTGCAAGTTTTGATTTCAGCCATAGCAACTGCCTTGATCTTTGTATAATATGTTTCTTTTGGAGTATACGTGCCATTCGTTTTCTCTTAATAGTCTTTCTTTTATACTATTTTTTTTGAAAACAAATTAAAAAACCGAATATAGCCGGCCGGCTATACTATTGTTAATTTAAATAAAATAAAAAAGCCGAGTAAAGCCGAACGGCTATACTATTTATTTTTTAAAAATTAGGAAAAATGAGTATCTTTAACAAAATAAAAAAGCCCAGTAAAGCCGAACGGCTATACTATTTATTTTTTTAAAATTAGGAAAAATGAGTATCGCCGGTAGGCTATACTGTTTTAAAAAAAACTCAAACCAAGTATAGCCGCGCGGCTATACGATTTCTTTAAAAAAAGGAAAAATGAGTGTAGCCGCGCGGCTACACTATTTATTAAATAAAATAGCCGAGTAAAGCCGGTCGGCTATACGATTTCTTTTTAAAAATTAGGAAACAACCGAGGTTTGCCTTTTTGTTTGGTTGTTGTTTTGGTGATTCATTGTCGTGTTGCAGTGGTGGAGTTGACACAAAAGTATTTCTCCACAGTGAGTCTGGAGCTATTGCAAGTATATTCAATATCGCATGGCCCTAAGATCGTATTTGCGGAATGATTTTGCCAAAGGTGTGTGGGCTCAAGATTGCAAGTATATTCAAAAACACTAGATGCATCCATTGCTCCTCTCTTGTCTTTGATTTCTGCTGTTGGAAGAACTGGAAGCAAAAACAAAGTACTGAAAAAACTGATAATCTCAAAACGCAATTAAAGTCTAATGATCTTTATTTCAACTCAATTAACTAAATTTGATCACAAAGTAAAATTCATTCTTGATGTGCAACCATTTCCATGTCTGTTCTGGATGGTCAGGCCTCATCTTCTGTGGTTTTCTCTTGCAAACTCTCTGAAGGTTGCTTCTCTTTGGCCTTGGAGGCAGCAGCACTACAATTTCATGGGAAAAAAATAGATTAATTCAAACGTATTACCAAAGGCGCAAAACATTAATCACTTTTATTAGAAAAAGATTACTAAGATTATCAACATTCTGCAATTATTGTGAGAATCAATTATATTATAAGAAATGTGATTTAAGAAGGAGCACATTATGAAATGACAAAAATGGATTCCAAAATTAGATGTTTGAATTTCTTTTAAGCTTTTACTTTTAAGAGACGAAGTTATTTGCACGTGACATGTGTGTCATGAGTGGGGAGGGAGTACAAATAACAATTAAGAGCATCCGCAATGATGCTCTCTATTTCTTAGTTAAAATTTAGCTAAAAATATAATAAAGCTATTTTAGGAGCTCTCTAAAAAATTTCAACTCCAACCATACTCCCTAATTTGGAGAGTCATAAATGCTATAACTCTTTTTTGATTGGTCCATCTCTATTAAAAAATAAATAAAAAATAGTTAGCATTAAATAAAGGTTTGAAATACTTATTAAATAAGGCAGCATTAAATTATAGGGAGCCACTAGGAGTACTTTCTCTCTCCTCAGATTTAGGAGCTCCGAGAGGACTCCCTATTTTAGGAGGTGGATAGGGAGCATGGTTGGAGTTGCATTTTTACAATTCCTCCCTAAAATTTGTCTAAGGAGGTGGTTTAGGGAGCCCATTGCGGATGCTCTAAGTAATATATACCCCTATTTACGCTCCCCGCGCTAGCGTGGGAGCATTGGGGGATTACAAATGACGCTTCTTTTATATTTTTTATTTTTTTAAATCTATCTCATTGCACGCTCCATATAAACAATGTTATCTATCCTCCCACCTAGCTATATATCCTTCCTCTTTCTCTTTTCCATCTCTATATAAATTAAAAAACAACAAATAAACATTATCAAACAAAAGTATGAAGTTCTGCACAACCTGGATTCTCCTGGTGCACTAGAACTTGCATTCCCCTTCAGATTGGATTCAAATAATACTGGTTCTATGAGCCGGATGTCAAAGACCTTCTCTTCTGCATCTTCCAAAGTTGAGTAATTGTATCCTTGTTCATATTTTCTCATCTCAGCCATGACATGAGAGGGCTACATTACACAGAATAAATATTCACATATCCGTTATTTATGTGTATATGTATGTTGTTTTGGTTAAACAAAAAAAATACATGGAGGCAGAGAAAAAATAAGATCACAGTCATGCCAGATCAGGAAGGATATTTGTGATGGGAAATTGAGACCATCAGATTGATCATGCTGCAAGTCTTCTTCTTTTGATTGGTTTTTTTTTCCATCAAGTTCTTCCTTCTCCTTGCAAAGTTCTAGGTGCTGTTTCATAATATGGAGTTCTCTTTCAAGTACCTGAATTTGGGCATTGAGACCTCTGATAATGCCAAGACAACCATGCACAGGATCATTTTTCCTTGCATTCCCTTCCGTGAGAATGCTCTCAGCAGCTGCCTGTCTTTGATCAGGTGCAGCCATGGCCATGATCTTTTGGATGTTGCTCACACCAAAGATCTTATGAGCATTTTGGAACTCACTGTACCTGCTGGCTGGAAAGTATGGGGCCATTTCACAGGTCTCATCACATTTTCTCCTCTGCTGCTTGCACGAAGCACAAGCATGGTTTTGAGCTGCACCCTGATCCCTATTTTCCATGATTGCTTGTTCTCACTGAAAATGAACCAAACAGAAGCAATTGAGGGTGAGGAAAAGCAAAGAAATTGGGATTTAATTGAGAGTTAAAGAGGGATATAAAGTTGGCTCAAGCTTTTGGTTAATGAGTTGGATAGCATCAGATTTTGTGAAATATATTTTGGCATCTAAAATTTATTTGGATTTTGTACAAAACCCAAATTATTATTTTATATTTTATTTTTGTGGTATAAGGCAGCATATGCATGGCTTGAGTCAGGGTTTCAAAGCCAATTGTCAATTTGTCATCATTAGGAAAAGCCCTTCAGTTTCTTTGTTTTTGAATTTGACTCTGCTCTGCTGCAATTAATCTCTCCCGTTTCGTTCATGCATCTAACAGTTGTGTGACAAAGTTGAGTGATCAAATATTACAACTCAAATCTCAACTGGATTTTTATAGGGAGAGGGAAATCGAACCTAAGACCTCAAACATTGAGGTAAATGCTCATAAATCACTTGAGTTATAAGCCCTTTCACCAAATTCAAACCGGATTACTAAAGGATTATATAGGATTTTACCTTGCTTATTAAGCTACTTTCCATTGTTTTCATATGCACAATTAGAGCTGGGTTGGTAAGAAAACAAATGACAAACTGCTATATGATGATTTTAATATGTTACTATTGTCTGTATATTTTCCTGCATGCCCTTTGTGGTATGTAATTAATCACTCCAAACTATTTTTCTTTTAATTCTTCTTCTAGCTTGGAAATTTCTAGCACTACCAAATTTGGTTGGTTACCTTGAATTTGTTGTGGTTCTATCTGTAAATTAAATTAGAATTTACCTATCAAGCATTACTTCCTTTTAATCTTATTTGGGTTGTGCTTTCCATACCTATGTTTTGCCATATTTATTTGAACATACATCAATTTTGTACAAATTTGAACCTTTGGAAATGTATAAACACAACCCATATTGATCGTAGTTTGACTCTTATGAAGTATATATCAACTAACTCTTAATTTAGTGTTTCTTTCTCTTTGTAAAATTAAAAGATGTTTCCAGCTCGAAACTCCTCTCCCGCCCATTGTTGAAAGAAAAAGTATATATGCACATTTTGGTAAAACATAAACAGATAGCCTTATATGGTGAATGGGCCCAAGCAATCAAACGCAGCGTATTGGGCCTACGGCTTCGACACTTGAAATCCGACAAAGACAAATATCTCGCCATCGTCATCGAGAAACCACAAACAACGTCTTCAATTCAGCGATGGCGTACTATATTGTGCAGTGTGCAGTTCGCCTGCAGAATACTGTGAATTCGGGCCCGATTTCGATAAATGCAAGCCCTGGTTGATCCAAAACGCCCCAGACCTTTACCCGAATCTCGTTAAAGGTTCTATTTTGCACCCAAACCCTAATTTCTTGTGTTCAGTTTTAATCACCTCTTATTTTCTTATCTCTTACATGTTTTCTTATCTCTTCACCCCCCACCACAAAAAAAGAAGAAGAAGAAGATGAAGAAACTCTGAAAAATCGACCTAGGCGGTGCCTAGGCGCTAAGCGGCTCCTAGGCGGTAGGCGGGAGAACACCTCTTATTTTCTTATGATTGCTCTGTTTTGTTTTCTTCACTTGCTATATTTAATAAATTTGTCATCTTTTTTGTTAATAATTTAATTCTTGTTTTTATTTTGGGCAGAGGCTAATGCGAAAGAAGCTGATAAAGTAGCCAACCAGTTGCAGTCTACTGGTATATCTTCTGGTGGAGATGGAGCTGCTTCTTCTTCAGGGGTTGGTGGTGGCACTTCAGCACCTAAGCAAGAAGAAGTCAAGCGTCTTCCAGGCGAGAAGATTAAGAAAAAGGTGAGACTTTTGAAATTATTTATTTTTGAGGATCTTTAGATTACAATGATTTAAACTTGGTATTGGCTTTTCTGTAGGAGAGGCAATAAGTTACTATTGAAGAGGTTATACATAATAAGCAGAGTATAACCGGTATACTATTTCTTTTTAAAAAAATTGGAAAAACCAAGTATAGCCGCGCGGCTATACTATATCTTTAAAAAATTAAAACCCCTGTATAGCCGAGCGGCTATACTATTTCTTTAAACAAATTGCAAAAACCGAGTACAGCCGCACGTCATGTGTATGCATATGTGAGTATTATTCTTAGATCATTCAATACCCTCATATGTTGGATTTTGGATAAGCATCTTTCTAGGCAATGCCACATTATGATTTCTTTGGAACTCATTGTTGTCCCACATCGGCCAGAGGGCCAAAGAGAAAGTAGTGTAAATAGAAATATCCCTCTCTAACTAACACCGAGGCCTTTTGTGATAAAACCCCACACCTGAGGATTGTGCAGGTGGTAAAGTTGGGATAGTATCGGTGTTGTTGGAGTGGGCCCTCGGCCCGTCGACTTGAAAGTTTGACTTGGTGTCAGAGCCGACTTTCTGGTGACCTGTGTGTGTTGTGCCCACCCGTGTTCTACTGTGTGCCCTAAATTTCTTTTAGGGTTCTTGTGCTTGTGCCTGTGCCTGTGTTGTGTTTGTGCTTTGTGTTGTGTTTGTTTCCGCTGCTATCATGGGTGATGATTCCAAGGTTATGGTTGGTACTAGTGTGTCTACACCGAAGGAGGCACGTCCGTCGCGTGATTACTCTACCCCGATTACTTCTGACAAATTGGATGGCTCCAATTATGCCTCTTGGTCTCGTGGTGCGCGTATTACGATTACTAGTCGTCGTATGGAAAGTTGGATCAATGGGAAGAAGCCTGCTCCGTCTCTAGAGTCCGATGCCTATGCCGAATGGGAAGAAGATAATTGTCTGGTGCAGTCATGGCTTCTCAATTCCATGACTAAACCAGTTCGTGCCTTGTTTGAACATGGTGATACTGCTTTTGATATCTGGGAGGCTGCTCGGAAGACCTATACTGTGACTCAGAATAGTTCTCGTTTGTTTTAACTCCGACGGCAGTCCATACTTACAGGTCAGAATGGTGAATTTGTAAAAGTGTTTTATGAAAAACTCAATGCTATCTGGCAAGAGATTGATTGTCTGCGTCCGCATGAGTTTAGCTGTTCTACTGATGGGGCTTGTCGTCTGAAAGAGATTGAAGCCGATCGAGTTTATGATTTTCTTGGCGGACTTGATCGATTGGTTTGCTGACTACAAAGCTCGTATGTATGGCCCCAAGGCCACTTACACTGTGACTCCTGATGAGGCCCGTCCTCCGGCTCCATCTGCAAATCTGTGTGCCTCCGATACTATGCCAGGTATGGGTTCTACTACTTGGATAATTGACACTGGTGCTTCTGATCATATGACTTATAATAATAATATGTTTGATGAGTTGTCACATAACCTTCGTGACCCCTATATTACTAGTGCTAATGGTTTACCTTCCCCAGTTACCGGTGAAGATACCATCAATCTCACTCCTTCTTTACCTCTGTCTCATGCACTCTTAGTCCCCAATATTCATTGCAATTTGTTATCTTTTGGGCGTTTACTTGATACACTTAACGCGTCTGCTACCTTCTATTCTACCCATTGTTTTTTCCAGGATCTCAGGACTCACGAGAAGATTGGGCATGGTAAACGGATAGGGGGGTTGTATTACTTACAATTGCCGGCAGCAGCAGTTCGTGGTTGTGTCGCTAATAAAGCTCCGAGTGGCAGTGTCAAAGACAAGCAACAACTTTGGTTATGGCATCGTCGCTTAGGACATCCGTCGTTTGGTTATCTTAGACATTTGTTCCCTTCGTTGTTTAGTTCGTGTGATGAGTCTAGTTTCAAATATGAGACTTGTGTAATGGCCAAGAGCAACCGTACTGTTTTTCCATTAAGTAATAATAAAGCTGCTTTGCCTTTTGAGTTAGTACATTCTGATGTCTGGGGTCCTGCTCGTATGACTTCTCATGGTTTCCGTTAGTTTGTTACGTTTATTGATGACTGCACTCGCTTAAAATGAGTGTCTTTGATGAAGAATAAACATGATGTTGCCTCTATTCTTCCTGACTTTTGTGCCATGGTGTCTACTCAGTTTCATGCTCGTATTAAAGTATTTCGGACTGATAATTGCGGTGAATATGTGAATCATACCTTGACCCAGTTCTTTCGTGATCAAGGAATCATTCACCAAACTACCACTCCATTCACACCTCAACAGAATGGTGTGTCTGAAAGGAAGAATCG